AAAAAAAAACTCATGTCAATTGAATGAGTATTGAGTCATGTTAGTCTCTTTTTTTTAATAGGTCACTCCAGTTTTAGCAACAGCTTGCACGTATCTAGGGTTTTAAAATAAATGAAAACACTGATAAATGTGTTTTCCGCTAGGTCAGCATTGTAGAAAGTCGTCTTTGAGTCAGAAAGGAATGAGCAGGCCAGGTGAAAAAACATTTGATAAAACTGAAAACCTGAGGCACTTTGAAATGGCCTAATTGCTGGGAAATTTATTAACTGGTTAAATAAATGTCATTGCTTGCAGAACCAATTAGAAGATTCGTACAGTTTAGGAAATTGATTATTTTTAAAACTAAAATCCCCCACTTTCCACCAAAGTGTACTCCATGTGAACATGGCTTCCAAACCTGAAGTATGTTTTGAATATTTTTCATCTTTTACTGGGTTGTTAATATTTGTGGAACTATCACAGTGAGACCAACTTAACAGATTTTTTTATTGTAATCAACAATTATAATAGATTAAAAGCCAATTTAGGCATTTTATATATTTGATGTAAATGTTTTAATGGTATGCTAGATTTTAATTTCTTTTTAATGCCATATGTTGCTTTGAGAACGTTGGGGTAATAAATGAGAAAATGAGTATGACTATTTACTTCAGATCTATCTGCATATAGGCTCTTTTGACTTGCATACATGACAATGGGTTTATAAATATGAAGACATTTGAGAGATCAGGGATGGAGTGAGGTGAGCTTGAGGTAGAAAATCAACTAGAATTATTTGTATCACAGAACAGGCTTAAAATGCCAAATGGCTTACATCTTCTATTTTTTGTGTTATTATGTATTAAATATTTTTGTGATAAATGGTGGTTTCTGAATTTTCTCACTGCTGGAACCTTCTGAAGGTTTTACATGTAATCAATATTGTATCAATTGTATATAAAATTGCTATTAGTAAACCTTTTTAAATGTTTATTATCAGTAAATGCTCATTCTGTCAGCGTGAAATTCTGAAATGTTTCAAGAATTGATTCAAGGAATCTGAGGTTACAAAACAAAGGAAAAAATGTTTACAATGTAACTGAACAAAATTGTCCATACTAACCAGGTTTGAATCTCATGTTAGAGGTGGTGGAATTGTGTGAAGGGCTGGACAAACCCATTATAATTGTTATTATTGTTGCTTCCCCTTCAGCTAATTGGAAGTAGGTGTACAACAGGAAGGTTTCTCCCTTGTTTTGATGCACTGAGTTGACCTTGTTGGTCATACTGATAATAACGCAGCTGAAATTGACAACTTGTAGTCTCAAACTAGGTTAGCTGCTCAAAACAATATATTAAGACCAAAAGATTTGGCCTTGCTGATTTTTTTTTTTAGTTAAATTCATATAAATGTTAATGCACTGGGTAAAATAATCCCCTACACATTTTTTTAGGTGCATTGGCATTGCTTTGAATACAATATAGAATCTTGAATGTGGTTACAGCACAAAAGGAGACCCTTTAGTCCATTATGTCTGAGCTGTGCTTTTCTGCAATTACCACTCACTTAACACTGCTCTCCTGCCTTTTATTTTAAAAAATGTAGTCAGAGTTTTCCTTTTGAATAATTAACTGATTCACTTTAGAGGGTACAGTTAAATATGCCCACACTACAGTCTCAAGAAGTGTCCGAACACTTCATTTTTTTTTTTTAAGCCACTTCTGGCATGTGGGTGTTGCTTTCTGGCCAGCATTTATTGCCCATCCCTTGTGCCCTAGACAAGGTAGTAGCAAGGTGTCTTTTTGAATTTCTGCAGTCCATGTGCTGTATGTTGACCCATGATGCCCTTAGGGAGGGAATTTTAGGATTTTGACCCTGTAACGGTGACATATTTCCAAGTCAGGATGGTGAGTGGCTTGATGGGAAACAGTAGTGGTGTTTCCATGTATTTGTTATATGGGAGTGATCATGTGTTTGGAAGGTGAAATATAGGTTTTGAAAAGAATTCATTTCTCCAATTCATTCCTACTTTTGGCAGTCACAATAGTGTTTTCTGACTCTCCAGTCTTCTACTGATGGGAACAGTTTCTGTCTAGAGATAGTAGGAACTGCAGATGCTGGAGAATCCGAGACAACAAGGTGCAGAGCTGGATGAACACAGCAGGCCGAGCAGAAAGGCTGAAGTGCTACACCTGTCCCCATACCTCCTCCCTCACTCCCATCCCAGGCCCCAAGAAGACTTTCCACATCAAGCAGATGTTCACCTGCACATCTGCCAATGTGGTATACTGCATCCGCTTTACCCGTTGTGGCCTCCTCTACATCGGGGAAACCAAGCGGAGGCTCGGGGACCGCTTTGCAGAACACCTACGCTCGGTTCGCACTAAACAACTGCACCTCCCAGTCACGAACCATTTCAACTCCCCCCTCCCATTCCTCAGACGACATGTCCATCCTGGGCCTCCTGCAGTGCCACAACGATGCCACCCGAAGGTTGCAGGAACAGCATCTCATATTCCACTTGGGAACCCTGCAGCCCAATGGTATCAATGTGGATTTCACAAGCTTCAAATTCTCCCCTCCCGCTACCGCATCCCAAAACCAGTCCAGCTCGTCCCCGCCTCCCTAACCTGTTCTTCCTCCCACCTATCCCCTCCTCCCACCTCAAGCCGCACCCCCATCTCCTACCGACTAACCTCATCCCGCCCCCTTGACCTGTCCGTCCTCCCTGGACTGACCTATCCCCTCCCTAATTCCCCACCTGCACTCACCTTTACTGGCTCCATCCCCGCCTCTTCGACCTGTTTGTTTCCTCTCCTCTATCCATCTTCTATCCGCCTCCCACGTTCTCCCTATTTATTTCAGAACCCCCTTCCCCTCCCCCATTTCTGATGAAGGGTCTAGGCCCGAAACGTCAGCCTTTCTGCTCCTATGATGCTGCTTGGCCTGCTGTGTTCATCCAGCTCTGCACCTTGTTGTCACAGTTTCTGTCTATCTGTCCGGATCCCTGTTGATGTCTTCCTTGCTCCATACATTATTCAATATTTCTTTCTTTAAGCTGTTTTAAACAAAACCAGTGCATTAACAACAATTGAGGCGTGCTAACCACCTGATTTTATAACGTTGTCTTTCATTCTGTGTGACTGTGAAAATTGTGTTCTCCTGTTACTATCTCATAATACACTGGCAGCAGTCTCATTACCCCCACATAACTCTTCATAATGTTAAATAACAATCTGTATTGGGTCTCCCTTCAGTTTTGTGTGCTCTAGCAGTAAAACAAACAGCCATGCTGATGGAATGTGGGCAAATACCTTTTTAACATTTTGGAATTTTCTGGGTTTGGATAATGCAAGAAGGCAAAGAATGGAAACAGGCTGTTTACCATAACTTCACCTGCAATCCTTATCTTAGAATCTACCTTCCCCAATTAGTCTCCTGAAGAGTATGTTTAAATGGTTTTACTAATCCCAAATGTAACTCTGTTATGGAAACAATATATTTGTCTTCCATCTCTCTCTTCATTATTCAACTATAATACTTGTGGTTCTGGCAAAACTGGAGTCCTTTCAATCTGCTGAGATTTGAATACCTCTGATTTTACTCAATTATCTGATAGAATGTGATCATTAATTTGCTCCTGGAATGCACAGATAACAATATACTAGTGTCTTTTGAATTTAGTTCCCAAGCTTCTTGAATCAGCTATTAGGACAAACAAGAATGTAGGAGGTTCAAACCCCACTAATCCAGATGCAAGGCTTTGTGTTGAAGAGAAATGGACATATTTTGTCTAATTACTTACACAGCTTCACCAAACATTATGAAATGTACATTTTTATTACATTTTGAGTTCTGACTTTTCTCCATCCTTTCCTAAACTGTCAGCTGCATGCAAGAATTTAATTCTACACGTCTTAGTAACTTGCCCATTGGTCATTCTTCATCTCTGAGCAGAGATTATTTGATCATCAGTGATGAGCCAGAACCTGTCCTCTTGTATGGAACGATTTGTTGAGCTAATTGGATGGCAATTCGGAGAGGACTGTCTGGACATATTTTCTCAATATTACTGAACTAGGAAATCAACAGCAATTGTAATTCTTCTGAAGTTGAAATGCTTGAAATCAGTGCTCCTTACTAATTTAACAGATTTGGTTTACTAATGTGACATTTAGAATGTCTAGTTTGCCTCCAATGTTGCTATTGATGGCATAATGAAATTGTTTAATAAGAAACATTTAGACGGGCTTTCCAATGCATTGAAGTTTAAAATAAAATTCTGTTTTGAAAAACAATTTGAATTGCAAAGATGGGTTGGCTTTTAAAAAGGGAACTCATTTCAACCTTGGCTGTGACTTTCTCAAAAGTAAAAAATTAGAATTAAAACCTAGCAAAGCTTTCTTATTCAAACTGCAGGAATAATTCAGATATTCCATGATGTTCTAAATTACATGCACCTCTTACTATTGAGAAACAAGACATAATACCCTCTAGCATCATAAAACAGTATTCATAGGAAGAGACCTTTTCTGTTCATTTGAATCTTCTGTTTTTAAGAACCATTTATTTATTTCCATACCACCAGTCATTGTCAATGTTGCATATTGGCTTTAAAAATATAAAATTTACATAAAACATGCATTCTGTAAGAGTCATTTTGGTTTATGGCCTACAGAACCTACCGCTTTAGGGATTTATTTAAGTGAAGGCCCAATCATGAAAACTGCATTAATTTTAGTTTGAACATGTACCCTCCAGGCAGCAGAGATATTTATTGAAAAGGTTTTGCCAGTATTTAGCCTACATTTTTGTCAGCAATTAATTGTGTTGCTTGTAATTAATTTTGTAAATGACATTATTTATATGCTAACTATTTTTGCTAGTATTTGTTGTAAACTTTTTAGTAAACA